AATTGAAATTCTATGGATTCTTGGACCTATGAGTATCCCATATTCCTTGCTCAAGTTGGTTTGATGAATTTGTTTAAAATGACGTTAAATTAACGCGAAAAGATATAGGTTCGCTGCTCTTATTTATTAGTGGCATTGAATAATTTTGCGTTCAGTGAAATTTCGAAAATATTCGACAAATAGGTTTTACAAATACTTAGAATCTTGTATTAGCAATCATACATTCGATAGCCGAGAGCTTATGGACTAATTTCGATAGTCAAAAACGCAAAACAGAAGGTGTGTGATTTATCACATACATTAATCTCGTAAATCCTATCCAGGCGAAGCCGGTTCGGGTTGCCAGTTTACAATAAATCAGCCAAAGAAGTATTACACATAGTGCTTCAAAAGTCCACTCCCTTCCATGGATTCTACTGTATTACTCTCACATATGGCTATTATTTTCCGTGTATGATTTTGATAACAAAACTCGTAAAAAGAACTTTTAAAAGGTTTTAGAAAAAAATTGTTTCGTCAACACAGTGATCGTCGTCCACAATTTTGTGTAATTCGTGTAATTAGGCGCCTGAGGTGTAATAATGGCCTCGGTGTCTGTTTTGATTGGCGGATATCGAAAGTGTTGTTATTTTGATCGGCCGGTGGGCGTCCAAGGCCACTGCAGAGATGGTGGTATTTCGCATTGCATTGTCATATTTTATTGATTTAACTTCGTTGTTGGCATGCACTTAACAGTTGTTCAGAAAATCGAAAACAAGATTTTCTATTTTTTTTATTCTTCATGTGTTATTATTATTATGTTTTAATTATCTGTAATTAAAGTGTAAGATAATCTACTACCCAATAAACTCTCGAGGGTGCTGTAAGTGGTAACAGAAGGAAATTAAACAAGGAATGTACAGCTGCATCTTTATAACATTAAAATTAAGATAAAAAATACTGGGGTTACCAACTCGCTTGTAAAGCGTGGCAATTATGCCAAATATCTCCTCATGTTTACGTGGTACAGGTTTTTGTAAGGCTTTAATGATAATTAATGAAGTAAGAGCCGTGGTAGCTGACATGGTTAGCGCTCGCTGTAAGCTTCACAGTACCTACTCGAGCAACCCGGGTTCGATCCCCGCCGGTACCAATGAAATTGTTAATTGCAATTTTAAGTGCTGATTTACCACGTGCTCGGCGGTGAAGGAAAACATCGCGAGGAAACCTGCATGTCTGAGAAATAAGAAAAATATAATATTTCGAAGACATGTGAAGTTCGCCAACATGCACTGGGGCAGCGCGACAGACATTTCCTTGACCTAAAACCCTCTCAGAAATGAGAGGAGGCCTGTACCCAGCAGTGGGACGTAAATAGGCTGCAACTTTATTTTAATGAAGTAGGGGATGCTCATCAGCGGTCTGTTTCATCAACTGTAATGAATGAATAAATTATGTATCTTATGGCATCCTAAACCGATAGATAAAAAGCTCTATCCTAAGGAATTTCCAGATTCATAGTGCCTAGTCCTGTGAAGGGGGAGAAGAGGGGGGGGGGGGGGGAAGTGAAGCGTATGAGGCGTGAAAGGACAGCCGCCAATCTGTCTGCCCTAGTCGACTGTATCAAAAACCTTTCAATATAACTAATATTTTGGTTCTAATCCCAAAAAAGTCTGCACTCTTGTATACAAAAGTTAAGTGTAGTATATTTTTAAAGGCTATTTAGTAATTCGGCGTGTTATAAAACATACTTACTTGAAATTTCTCTACGAGATAAAATTGTAAAGTATACATAGCCCACGGACCGGTAAGTAAACGTGGCAAGAAGTTGGCCATATCATTTATACTACCTTTTATAACTGGTACAGCGTGGCTGCAGCTATATTATGATAATAGCACGAATGGGTTGACTCAACCGTAGAAGGACCACGCTCTCACAGAATACCAGAACAGCTTTATCAGATTTAGCAGTTGTCTATCGGTCACAGCATCCACTTACCGTCTGTGACTGTGTGTTCATTCGTCACTCTTATACTATAAAAAATACATAAAGTCGACGACGAGCTCAATAAACTGACATCTGATGGAAAAGAAAGATTCACGGCTAGATGAAGTGACGATCTGATAAAGACATGCAGGAGGTCTTTAAATACATGCATATTAATCCCGTGCCTTATGGAAAGTTATTGAACAAGCCCGTGCTCAGTAATGTACTTGTAAAGTAAAGTAAAGTTGCAGCCTATTTACGTCCCACTGCTGGGGCACAGGCCTCCTCTCATTTCTGAGAGGGTTTTTAAGGCAAGGAAATGTCCGCCGCGCTGCCCCAATGCGTGTTGGCGAACTTCACATGTCTTTGAATTTTTTCTTATTTCTCGGAGATGTAGGTTTCCTCACGATGTTTTCCTTCACCGTCGAGCACGTGTAATGTACTTGTGATGGACCGTAATAAAGATTTTATAACTATGCAGTTATAAGTACGCCTGAGAACTCTGTCCTTTCACTGTTTTACGAATCTTTTTGAATTGAAAAAGCTCTGTGGGAACATGAATCAGAATAAAGTACAAAATTAATGTCGCTTGCTTTTGTTTTAAACCAAATTAAACTTTTACTGCTATCTTTTCAAAGCTTAATGGATCGTATGTACAATAAATAACGATGCAGTTACGCTTTGCGATCTTACGTAAACCCGCCGGTTTACAGTAGTAGTATATGTTGTGTCAAATGATGTATGGTTTCTGTGCATTGTTTTCACGAAATTAAAACTTCTTCCGATATTTGAATATCAGTGTGAAATAGCATCTCAAAGCATCTAAAACAGTGAGTGTAGAGAACCGGAGACCCTTTTTACTGGAAACGAGGCATTCAAACTTCGTCCTCAGGGGTGACAACGCATCTGCATTTTGATTCTTAATTGAGGATAAAATGTAGATGTCTATGGACCGCAGTATCCACTTACCATCAGGTGTAATGTGTGCTCGTTTGTCACCCTTATTGTATAAAAAAAAGTAATATTAATTTCAATGACAAACGAACTTGCAGTCCACCTGATGGTAAGTGGCTGTTCACACACACGTGTGTGTGTGTGTGTGTGTGTGTGTGTGTGTGTGTGTGTGTGTGTGTGTGTGTGTTTAATCCAATTTTAACGTAACCAACCCACAGTATACAGTTCCACATTATAGTGGGTAACGCAACAATCGATTATCGGATGATGTAGGCCGCCGATTTACAAGAAATCAGATGTTGACTTTGCATCACCCATTATTATAATTCATCAATAATAATCAAGACCAAGTTGTTGAACTATCACTAATATCAGTGTAACAATAAAATGAACACATTCTAATCAGTCATTACTTCTTTAGAAGTTTATTAGAGATTAAGGGATCAACTATCAAAAAAAAAACAGTATAATATTTAGTACATAAAAAACTGCATTATTTTTTGTATTTTATTATTTCAATGATAGCCGATAATCGCAGGTCATTGAGGAAATTTCTTTTGTTATATCGAATAAATAACGAAATTAATTTCAACTATCTTGTCAGACGACGTGCAAACTATTAAACGTTTGCTTTCTCAGTATGAAATATTTTACTGCAAATAGAGGTTATAGTTTTACAATTCCCTCATAAAAACTTTCCGAAGGCGTGATCCGATTTTTAACGTGAAGTCGTAACTTACTCTAGTCTTTATACGTGGTAGAGCGATGGTGCAGCTATATTATGGCTGTAGTATGAATAGGCCAGCTCTATAGAGGAAGGAGCACGCTCTCACGGAATAACAACTTGAGTGTGGAGACCCTTTTACTGGAAACGAGCCATTTCATCTTAATCGTCGGGGATGACCACACATCTGCATTTTGATTCTTAATCGGGGATATAGATAGATCTATGGGCAATCAGTTGGACTGTATGCTCGTTTGTCAACCACATTATATAATAAAAAACTCACAGAATTGTTTTATGCTCTCATACGACCGATATTATACTGAAGGCGATGACTAAGACAATGGTTTTTCTGGTCCCAAAGTGTTGTTATTCTACGACTCGGCGTATAACTCTGCTTCCTTTTTATATCATAAGGTTGAATCGGTTAATTACGGACAAATGAGCGTAACTATGCGTTATCATTAGAGTGAATTCATTTCAACAGTTTCTTTTGATTCAGACAATTGGGATTGCGATTAAGTACTTAATAATAACTTTTAAAATATGTAGCCTGCCCGTATGCTACCTACAGTCGCTGTTAAATATGACAAATTGGGAATAAAAAATTAAAGTTAATTTGAGGGCTAGGTAGCGAAGTTTCATTTTTTTTATAGGATCGGGTGACAAACGAGCACACAGTCCACCTGATGGTAAGTGTTTACTGTGACCCATAGACATCGACATGTATCCTCAATAAAGACTCAAGATGCAGATGCGTTGTCACCCGTGAGGACTAAGATCGAATACCTCTTTGTCAGTAAAAAGGGCCTCCGGCTCTCTACACTCACCATACGAAACACAGCAGCGTTAAGGTGCTATTTTACGCTGGTTTTCTGTGAGAGTGTGGTCCTTCCCCGGTCGAGCCGACCCATTCGTGCAACAACCATAATACAGCTGCAGCATGGCTCCACCACGTAGACAATGTTTTTTTCGTAGACACGTAGACACGTAGTTCAAATTCGAATTTTTCACCTATTTTCATAAAGAGTGAAAACCCTTAGACCCTTCAACCGATCTCAAACATACCTGGACAATTCTAATCGCAGTGTTCGCAGTACAGTTATCTAAAACTATTGACAGCACGATAAAGCACAAACAATGGTGAACGTTTTTAAACGCTCTGCTTCACATCTGTGCCACTAGGATAAAGGTTAACCTAATGGATTCTGTACGTGACACGGAGGGGCTCGTTCAATGTATTTAGAAGTTAACGATCAACGAGTCAAATGATTCTCGTTTAAATGCTGCTAAACTATTCTTTAGTAATTATTGTCAGCATACTTGGGTGATTTACTGTGTGATTTGTAATTAAATATATTATATTTCGTCTTAAAGAGGTTATAAAATATTAAAGCGTTTTACACACACGTACATGCTATCACAAACACACACACAAACAAAGATTTGAAAGAGCTCTGACTAAAGTAGATATGGAAAAAACTATTTAATTTTCTTTTCTCTCAATTCGACTGTATGTATTTTTTTATGTGTGTTACCTCATAACTTTTTTCTGCGTGTACCTTTTTCGAAGATTCTCTTTTTATTTGAAATCTGTTGCGTATCATGGGCCCCATATAAATTTAATCTAGGTGTGACCAATAGCTTTTGAGTTATTCTTAATAATTCATATTGAAGTCGGTTGTACAAAATTTTAAATTATGTTTTTATAAGTTTTTAACAGTCAATGATTATTGCGTCATAGGCCACGTAACGGTAAGCGGAGTGTAGGGTGGCCTGCATTAGATGGTGTGATGACCTGGTAAGACATGGAGGAAGTCGATAGATCTCGGTGGCTCTGGACCGTATTATGTGGTGATATTTGAGGGAGGCCTATGTTCGGAAATGGACTTGTGAGAGAGAGGTTGCAATGTTGCAATAATAAAGTTTATATAAATGTTAAGAAAACTGTGATAAAGGAAACGACGGCAGCCACTTTATATTCGCTACATAAACGATTTGTCACGGAAGTATTTTTGGACGATTTGCGAACCCGATTGAATAATAAGGACTTTAAGTGGCAAGCCGACAGACCGGAGGGGAAGCGCTAATGTTCGTGTTACACATTATACACATGAACTTGGGACAGTTTTAAGCACTGAATGCATGACCTTGTTTTATGTTGTGTTCCTGAAATTTCATAAGGTAATATCAAGTAAAATATCGACTTTCGTTTAAGAGATTTAATTTTGTAAGATTTAACAAATACTTGCTTTGACAATAATTGAAATGTTATAGAGTGGCAAAAACTATCGCTATTTATTTTGAATCAAAAATACCGATGCATAGATATTTTTGATAGATCTTCCTCGACAGGGCTTTCTGAAGGTTCCTCGAACGATGGCAACACAAGAACTAACCTAATAAACATTTTAAATAGATAATTCTATAGTCGTATTTTTAATTAGACGAAGCCAACTGACAGTAGCTAATGTCACTTTGTAAAATAATGTTGCCATATTTAAAGTAATAGTGATGCGTTCAGTTCTCGTTCAATCAGATGAATGAACAATGAGTGTGTATAGTTAATCATTTCAAACTATAAAAGAATATTATTTCTATTTTACAATAAAATTGTATAAAAGTGCTCTGATATAAGTTACTAGTAGTATGTAACTACAATCAGTTTTTTGAGGTTTTATTACAAAGCGCGGCGCGGCGACTACTGCCAACACCGATCAACGCCGCGCGCGTCGGTCGCCATTTTGTTTGTTATTCGGCTTCTAACCTCTGGTCTGATAGCACGAATGTTTTTTCTGCGCTCACGCTGTTTAGTTATTGTTTTTGTTAAGTTTTTCGTTACGTTGTGTTTGTGGTAATTGTTGTGTTTATTTGTTGCTATATTGTTTCGTACAAATGATATGGATCCTCAACCAAGCACGTCAAGCCAAAGCTTGTCTCCAAGAAAGAAGAGACCACGGATTGCTTTAAGCGTTACCGAAAAACTTATGATACAAAACGTCTACAAACACGTATTTGAGGAAAAAGCTGCTTCACTATTACCTATTGAGGCCCCCGAAAAAAAAGAATGTGTTTCGAAAACAGCTGACATTTTGGGAATTGGTGTGACCTCAGTTTACAGTGTGTTAAAAGAATGCAAAGAAAATGAACAATTTAAGTCTCCCGAGAAACGTGGACCGAAACACAGTTTCAAAGATAAATTAGACGATTTTACTTTTGCCGCTATAAGGCGAAAAGTACATAATTTTTTTTATGCAAATGAGTCACCCACCATTATAAAGGTAACTTAAACTTTATTCCTTCTACTGCATTATATTCTGTGTCCACCATAATGTTCTTTGTAAAACCAAAGTATTAGATTGCGTAGACTTCCTTACTCAAAACATATTTTTATTACTTTACAGATTCTTAAGGTTGTCAATGAAGACCCAGACTTACCCAATTTTTCTTGGAGTACATTAAGAAATGTTATGAAACATTTAAATTTCAAATATGTCACAAAATCAAGACACAGCATTTTAATTGACAGACAGGACATTATTCTATGGCGCCAGCGATACCTTCGAAAAATTAAAGAGTATCGAAGGGAAGGAAGGTATATTTATTACCAAGATGAAACCTGGATCAACGAAGGTAATTACAATTTTCTGTTTTCTTTACATTAAATTGTACTTTCAATAATTAATTGATATTTTTCACTATCTTGAAGGTCATGCACCGAAGAAGGCATGGATTGACCAGACAGTGTTATCGTCCCGCCAGGCCTTCCTAGATGGCTTGACCACTGGCTTAAAACAGCCTTCAGGAAAGGGCAAACGATTAATTATCGGCCATATAGGCGGGGAAGAAGGATTCGTAGAAGACAGCTTATTAATATTTGAAGCCAAAAAAAATAAAGAAGATTATCATCAAGAGATGAATGCCGATTCCTTTGAGAAGTGGTTTAGGGGGGTCTTGCCAAAACTAAAACCAAATTCCGTAGTAGTGATGGATAATGCCCCCTACCACTCCAGGAAACTAGAATCGCTGCCTAAAATGTCTTGGACTAAACCTAGAATACTAGAGTGGCTAACGAGCAAAAATATTTCATTCGAAGCAACAATGGTTAAAGCTACTCTTATAGACATTGTACGGCAGCACAAGCAAGAACATTGCGATAAGTATGTTGTGGACGAGATGGCAGCGCAGCATGGGATAATTGTTTTACGTCTGCCCCCATACCACTGTGAGCTCAATCCCATTGAGTTGGTATGGGCGCAGGCTAAAGGATATGTTGCAAGAAATAACAAAACCTTCAAAATGACAGAAGTAAAAAAACTTTTTGAAGAAGGACTTCAACATATCACACCTGAAAAATGGAATAGCTGCGTGTCTCATATAATTAAAAAAGAAGACAAAATGTATGGTCTCGACCACATGATTGACAATGTTACTGACAGATTTTTAATTAATGTCACCGAAAGCGATAGTGATGATTTTTTATCTGATAATGAATAAAAACAAATTATGTTACTTACTTACTTATCTTCACGCACAATCCCTGACGGGGTAGCCAGAGAGAACAGATCGCCAAGTGTCACGATCCTTACATATCTCTTTCGCTTCTTTCAGATTCATTATCTTCTTCATACATGCACGTCTAGGTATCCGAGTACTCTTGACCCTACCCTCTTCGAGCAATTTGCTCACATGGTCTTCGAAAGTTAGTCTCGGTCTACCTCGACACCTTTTAATATTAACTTTCGCGCTATATATTTTCTTCACCATTCGGTCTTCACTCATTCGCTCAACGTGCCCAAACCACCGAAGCACGCCCTTATCAATTTTTGTGATAAGGTCATCTTTCAAACCTGCCATATTGCGAATCTCTTCGTTTCGCTTTCGGTCGGCCATAGTAACGCCGCACATTTTACGAAGAGATCGCATCTCCACTGCATTCAACTTACTTTTATGCTTCTTCTGGCATACCCAGGTTTCGCTGCCATATAACAAACTCGGTACCAACACTGCGTTATGTATTGCAAGGCGTGCACTCTTCGCTACGCCTTGCCTTTTGACTAACGCAGTCAGGGCACCATTGACTTTGTTCCCGGCAGCAACACGCCTGTCCACATCTAATTATGTAATAAGCGATTTTTTTTATTCTCATTACCTACCTATAATTGTTATATTTTATACATCTATAGTTTCAACTACATGATGTATTGAAAATAGGACAGTCTTACAAGTTTCCTCGCAATATTTTCCTTAATGTTTAAAACACTCGGTATTCAGTATAGGTAGATATTATAGGAACATAGTCGTCGAAAACTCGTTGGTATGTACAAAGCACGACTAAAATTCGAACCCCGTACCCGATATCGGCAGTTCAGCACACTAACTATTCACTAGACAATCGAGGCAATTTCATTAATTCAGGAGTTTTTCAATCATTCACTTTGTCACAACACTATTTTTATTTCATCAAAAACTGACAACACAGTAAACGTCAGTTGACTTCGTCTAATTAAAAATACGACTATAGGTTTCTATTACAACTGAAAATTTTCAAGCGTCTATATCTCTATAATATATGTGTCTTATACATCTTGTTTTATGAAGTGATTTGTCTATGCTTTTACAAGCATTTTTGTTAAGATATTACTTTTACACCACGTGCAGCAAGGAATACACAAAACATATTGTTCTCAACAAGCTGCTAGGCAATTTTAAATTTAATGTACTCATGTACATCGTCACTCTTAAAGCGTCGCCGCTCCCGGTAGGTAACGTCGTCGGTAATGCAGTATAACAGGGTAATAAACGATAACGAATAGTATGAAACGCGCGTAAAGTGACGTCACGTGTGTGGTATCGGACCGCCTGTTGGATGTGCGCCAAACCTGATTGTTACTTTGTTTTACGATGCCGGTGGTATACCGATAGCATGTATCTCTAATGAAGCAGTCACGAAATGCAGAAATCTACGGGTTTCTAATAGATCATACGTTTGCAATGTTATTTGAATATTATAAAAACCCGCAATAAACTGTGTCTGTCTTTTCTGATTAATCTGCTTTACTTTTTATGTATTTTTTTTAAAATATATCACATTAGAGTTCACCCTAAGCTCTTTATCTCAATATACGTCATAATAGAAATTTTATCGTCCAAAAATATTCGCAGTTTAGCGTGTTGACTAAAGAAATGTAAACAACATTTTATGCTGTATTTACTAAGTAACTGCTTGCATAATTTATTATTTAATACAATACTTATTAAATCTTCTATGTAGTATATATATATATATATATATATATATATATATATATATATATATATATATATATATATATATATATATATACTATGTGTAGAAGCGATGCAAAAAAACAGTCGCATCATCTCGGCCATGGGCACAGTGGACAGTAAAATGTTGTAGCTCTCGTACCAAGGCGACATCTAAAGTACAAGACGTTACTTCACTGCTGACTCCCATCGTGGCAATCATAGCAAATCTTTTAAAATTTATAGCGCTCTCAAATAGGTATCACTCTATCTAGGTAATGCGAACAATACCTAGTTAGATCAACATTAAATAAAAGAAATGCAGGAAAACTACAAGGCTTTATATCATTATGTACAAATCAGGTCCTAGCGATCAAAACAAGACGAACAGCCAAAAGGAAGAAACCTATAAGGAACTTGGCAGCGATCCAACATAAAATACAATGTTACACACAATCCTCTACACTGTACATCCCAGCAATATCCGTTTACCTTGTGCTTAACGATTCAGCAATGCTATTTAATTGCTACACGTATTTTCTGTGCATTAAGGGTCACATTCCCTTGTGTAAGACCTCACATCATTCATCGCTGAGTCGTCGATGGTATAGAATTGATCGCTAAGATGATTATCGTCCAACAATGCCCGTCGGCATTGACTTACGTTCATAGGATGTTATAATCATTATAATTCCCCAGCCATAAAAACATACATTAATAACTAAAAAAGAATATAATTCTTTAATATGCGATAGAAAATTTCGATAAATAACAGTGTTCTTTTTTATTTCTTACATAGGGTCAGGAAGATGACAATAAAACATATGAATAAAGCAATGTCATGGTAAAAAGTTTTAAAAATTGCTTCGTTCGACGTACATTTATTTTTAGTGTAAATAATATTCAAAGAAACCAGTTCTTGACGTTAGTGAAGCACAGACCAAACTTAGATATTTGTTCTTCGTCAGACAAGATAAGTGTTAAAAAAAATTCGTCTCAATCTCATCACAACCCAACATAGTCACGGACTGGTCGAAAACAGATATTTCATTTGGTACCTAACTACAAAGGGATAATGCCATACCATGCCTGTTATTCTCAAATCTTCCACACGGCTATAAGATGATAATATTAAAAGCAAATTGTCATCATCATCATACTCATCAGATTGGAGACGATTCTATTTTTAATTGATATAATATGGCTTCTTATATTATATGACTATTATATATATATGACTCCTTTTCTTTGTTATGTTAGAGACACTGTAAACCTTGAAAATCATTACAGCCGCCTCGACCTCACAGTACACTGTTCAAATTTGTACATTTATACGCATAGTTATAACAGATCACTCACTGAGAACACACCTTCATTCATCTGTACTTAACGTGATTCTGCATCAAGCTTTTGACGTAGTACGGATCACTTTGTGTGTAATCATATGCAAACAAACACTTTAAGTGCTTCCGTCGCAGGTGTGCGACTCGCGTTGCACGTGTTTCTTGCGTCAGGAGCCGGGAGGAGTGGGTAAACGAAGATTTTATTTAGGTACATATTCATTTCATTCAATACAGCCCATATACGGAAAATAGACTTCCTCCGTTGATTGCCGCATAGGAAGGACATTTTCGTAGTTGCCACGCTTGGGTGGCGTGACAATCGTAGTTGAGAAGAACTGCGCATTTGCTGTTTCATTTCCCTCTGTCGCGTCTTATGACACAGATGGAATGATATGGTGTAGTTGATTCTGTTACCCCATCACTGCATGACAACGTTAGGTACCTATAGTGAGGCATACATAGTGAGTACATAATATGGTGATGTTTTAAAAGCTAAGGACGGTTAGTACCTTGCCGTTATAATTATGAAATGAACGGTAACACTAATCACGATCAAACATTTTTAATTTCGTCTCGATATTTAACTTCGAGGTCGAGTCTTCCCGAGCACTCGGTTAGTCGATTAATTCATTCCATCTTAGTCCTCGTTTGAAGATGTTTGCGGGTGGCTATGGACTGCAGTAGCCACTTACCATCAGGTGGAATGTTCGTTGGTCACATCAGTGTATAAAAAAATTGAATATATATATCGAATAATTTCACTTCGCATCCGTTAATAATCGTAAGTATCCAAAGGATCCTAAGTATATGCAGCATAAGTACGTATACTAAATTGTGTATTAAATTTTCATTATAGTTATGCATCCCACCTTTATTTACATACGAGAGTGTTCATTCATCGAGTTGAATCCATAAAACTTTATGATGTATTCTAGTCTATTGAACGCTTGAAATGTTTACTCAGCCACGTAATCGTAGTATGCAAATGTGCAGCAAGTTAGTACGATCCTAGTGGGTGAGTAGCACGTATTGAAAATGTTCCGTTATTATCACGAGGGGAATTAATGAAGGTGCCTTTGTTAGATCTGTTAAAATGTACACATATTCTTTGTTCAATGATACAAATTGTGAGTGAGTGAAGTAAATTAGGTTAGGTTTCTTTGTTTGATCAGTAGTTCTATTTATTTCTATATTTCTGTTTTACTCTTAAATATTCTATAGTAAATCTTTAATATTAATCTTCGGTGATTGGAGCGAATCCGTCACATCTCTTGT